ACCATTGTAAAGCNCCGCCTGTTATCTTACAAATTAGATATTTTTAAAAACGAAATTTAAGTATAATAAATAAACATAATACATTTTTTGCACACTATGAAAAGTTTACAAATTTCGGCATGCTTTATTATTCATATACAAAGTAATATACAATCTGTAATTTTTCGGTAATCAGAGCCTTTGTTAACTTTTTTTTAAAACCCATATTTAGACGCGATAGCAATTTTTACAATGTTTGCCATGCGGGGCACAGTCGTTCTCTGTATTCTTAGATCAATTTTGAAAAACGATTCTTTTATTTCGGGTTTCGAGATTTTATGTGAATAATATATTGTGTTTTATTAAAAAGTTACTCAAAATATATCATTTTCATATATTTTGTAAACGGAAACAAAAAAGTAGTAATTTTCAGGAATCTTAATTAAAGAATCGTGAAATTAGAAGCGTTTTTTACAAAATGTAAAAAGTCAGTTGCTAACCTATTAGTCGCGTGATGACTGTTGTTCCTCAGCGAACTTTGAGCTCGCTTCCTGTAAGAATAAATTTCGTACAACTTTAAAATTTTTAAGTGCAATCTTAGACACTTCAAGAAAGGTAGACATTATTTTCCGGCTTTAAACAAACCAAAAAATACACGTATTTAAACATGGTTAAAAACTATCGTTTCCCGTGCGCCTGAGAGTGAATTCATTTTAATATATAAACATTATCGTGTTAAACTATATTCCATCATACGGAAAATTAGAATACTTTACTATATAAAAGTGCTCATTTTCATTAATTACAATAGTAAACTAAANAAAGACGGCAAAAAACATCGAGTGGGCAGCTGGTTGAACATCGCTGATCTATAAAACAAATGTTGGCTATTTAAACTGTAAATATTTCGAAATTATAAATTCCATCACCACTACATGGACTGTGCACCACTTAAGAGTAACATGATATTATTTACTTATATATTCCAATATTCATTATAAATCTACCAACTATTAATCCGTTATTACATGAAATGGTTAACTTTCTTTATTATTATGCTTTTGATAAAATGTATAAACTAATATAAAACGAAATAAATGGAATTGTATTAATAATGGTATTTCTATTTTTTTTAGCAATATACTGAATATGCATCGAAGAACATTAGTTCTTCGGAAGAAGTAAAGCTGAAGTCAAATTGACAGACTTCCAGTCAAACCTTCGCTCAACAAACAACAACAAATCAAGATGTATTAAGCGCTGCCGAAATTTCTGTCCAAATGAGAAGGAGACTAGAGACAGAGGAAGAAAATACTTCGGATTCGGATAAACCATCAACGTCAAGACAATTCAAGAACATTGAATAACGAAGTTTACATTATTTAATTTTTAAAAAAAAATTTTCTTCACCTCATTCAAATTGAAAAATTTGTTTCTTCAGAAGCATACAAAATAATCTATTAAAAAATTAAGATTTAAGAGAAATTTTGAATTTGTAGAATATCTGACGAATATTACAATTGAAAAACATCACGTAAAGTAGCAATTTGATTTTTAAAGACATAGTCACAGCACAGTTAAATGAAATAACATTGAAAAATTTTCGTATAAATTAATTTATTGTTGAAATTATTTTATAAAAGTACAGTATTGTACATTTGCAGAACGATACTTTTGGTACGAAACAAAATTTAAAAATTATTATTTGAAATTAATTAATAGTTTTAATTGAATAAATTTACGTTTACAGAATTCAATGTATGTAGCAGATTTATAACTTATTTTAACAGTAGTGTAAGTGAAGAAACGTGGACTCACATTAGGTCATTAGATAACGCGAAATGAAACGACTGAACATTAAGAATAACTAAACTAAAGTAACAACAACTTAACTATAACAAGAAACGAAAATTATGCTTATTTTCTCACAATGATTAGTTTCTTATTAAGATGGTAACTTATTAAGAAACAATGTAAGTAAACGAAATAAAATTAAAGTATCACAGAACTTGGTATCACTCTACAGTGAAGCTCAACTACACGTGTAACGTTAATCTACCGAATTTTATCGTTAATATCTCCAAGACCAATGTATCGATTTATTAATAAATGAAATTTAAAATATTTCGAATAAAATCGTTGCATCGTTTTGGACTCAATTATAAAATAATGTCCCATTTTCTTTCTCGGCTGTTCTCGATACATTTAGGAAAAATAATTGGAATCGTATAAATTTGACAATCAGCGTTTCTAGATCTTTTGTCTGCACTGTATAGAAACCAAAAATTGTTTGTCTCTCTCTTCTTACATGTTTTCCAATCTGAAGTAAATGTTAATACTTATTCTGTATGGCAAATCTGAAAAATCTGCAGGCTCTCATATGATAGTGAAATGAATGTAGAATTATTATGAAGTCTGTTTTATTATGAAGTTATGCTTAACAGAAAAATGCATATAATGTGATATAAACTGAAAAAACCAGATAAAAAATGTAAAATTCAGCAAGAATAGCAAGTTAAATAAAACATTTAAATGCTGTAAGCAAAAAACACTGGAATAGAATTTGACAGAATAACTCATTCTATAAATAAAGTGCAATTACACAGACTTCAACTATTGGAATTCTTCGACAAGACAGTTATTGTCATAATAAATCGGAAAAATAAGCATCGTCACAGGAAAAACTTCGCGTTTTACGTTGTGCGTTAAACTCGTTGCACTGCATTGATTTAGTTAAACGTTACATCTTTAAGCGGTATAAAGGAAGGAAGTTAGAGACCAAAATTAAGCTTTAGTCTGTATAATGTGCGCAGATTAAAGCTCAATATAGACTGAAAACTACAATCCACAATGCGATTGTAATATTCAAGAGAATACCACAATCGAATTGTACCTATTGCAACGAAAAACTAACTGAAGTGGTGTTTGTTTAACATTACTTACCTTACTTTTTTGTTGCAATAGGTACAATCATATTAGGAATAGTTATATTAGGGATAGCTACTATTCTTAAAAGATACAACTGGCCTTTCAACCCGCACTATCTCATTCACACGCGAACAATGTTCCATCATCTACTCGCATACATATCCCTTAGTGGAACCCTTGAAAGCATACGCTCCGGGTGCAAGAATGGCAATTAGCTTTCCTTTGCTCTGTTTCAACTGTCGGTATATAGCTATCTTTCAACTTTGCATTTTAATTCTTATGCCATAACTTTCAGAACTTTTCATTGTTTAAATGTTTCTGCTGAGCTTTATATTATCAAACTGGTTTCAACACAATTATTATTTGTATTGTTTAATTCAGAAAATTCCATTTAAAGTACTTATTAAAAGTACTTTCAACATTAAAAGTAGTACCAATTTCAACACGGGAAACGATCTTAATGCAGTTAAAGTGCATAACATTTTTTAAAATAAGTATCATGTACCATCATGTGCTCTGAAATAAATAAATTTAATAGTTTTTCCTGTCGGAATTCGCAAACGGTAAATTAGCACTAAAGTCTTTTCCCAAAGATGAAAAAAATATTTCTAATTATCTAACTTTATTTATATTTCAATTTGATTATTTTCTAGTTTTTCTAGAAAATAAGCAAATTGAATAGTTTCTAAATGCATCTATAAATAAAAAATAATTCTATATGCATCTATTAAATGAAAAATGAAAGGTTTTAATAGAAAACCTTTCATGTTTTATTCAATAAGTGCATTTAGAAAGCAACTATAATGCAAGTTGTCAACAGGCTTCAATTTTGAAACATTCTCTCAACGTTGTTACTACAACAGAACACTTTAATTTAGAACACATTCAATGCTTTTCATCAACACTTACTAAAATTTATTTTATTTAATAGATTTCTAAAAATATTTAAAAAACAATTTTTGAAATTAATTCGGAACAGAGCCCTGAATGTATTTTCTTTTTGTGCTAAGTTTAAAAATACCAAGAAATAATTTAAGCCAGTTTTTTTGTCTTTTTAAGCTAACAAATAGACACAGTATGTCAATTTGACAGAACAATTGCGAAATTTTACATTGTCGTAGTGCATTATTAATTTCTCCTTTCTTCAAAATTTATAAACTAAATTTTAAAATTGGATTATTAATCCTGGTAATGAAATCAGAAAATGTAAGTTAAACATTCGATGTATTTTGTAAGACATTGCTTATATTTGGCGACTGTTCCCGTGATTCGAAATTGTAAAATACGTAAAATGTGTAATTTTAATTATTATCGAAAAAATACTATTATATTTAGATACGAAAATAAAATATTTTTGATAAACATTAATAAAAATATTATTAATACTGTATATAATGATTTACACAACGAGTTTTTTTTTGAAGAATGAAAATAGAAAACTTAAATGTACTATATGTAAAAAAAACATTTCAAAGAGAAAAGCATTTGGTAGAACACGTGAGGGTTTATACTGGTGAAAAACCGCTTTCATGCGATATTTGCGGTAAAAAATTCGCCCAGAGTTCAAATTTACGTAAACATATAAAAAGACATTCGAAAGAAAGACCATTCAAATGTAACTACCAAAACTATTTATATGCTGCAAACACGAAAGATAATTTGATGAGACATGTCAAACGATTACAACGAAAAGCAAATGCTTCTAAAGATATTGTAAGAATTATGTTCATGTATATTTTTGTATTTAAGTCCATAAATATTTATGAAATAGAATATATCATATTTATTAAATTAAAGTTAATATATATTCAGATAAAGTAATAAAATTAAACTAATTTATCAAAATTTAATTAATCGTTAAAAGTAATAATGGTAATTTACAGTGAAATAGTAAAAATATGTTTGTTATATCTCTATAGTAAAATCGTTCTTATTATTTATCAAATAAATTTCTTCAATAAGCGTCTGTAATATGTACAAAATAGAAAAATTTACAAGATATATTTAAATTTAATTTCATTTTTAAAATATTAATATTTTAATTTTCTTTTTCAATGTCTAATAAATAGAAACCACTAAAATCGAAACGAAGAGACCATAAATGTGATACCTGCGGTAAAAGTTTTGAATCCTCGTCTGCTTTTATATAACACCTGATATATCCTGAAAGAAAACGACCATTTTCATGTGATATTTGTAAGAAAACGTTCAAATATAAATTTGAGTTAAAAAGAGACATGAAAATAGTACATCCACAGGAAAAAACCGCATCTTCTTCCAAAGTACGTAAAGAAAATTTTTATCTTGAGACATCTGACTTTGTTTTACAGAACTAAGTGCATCAAAATTGATCTCCACTGATGTTGTCTCTACACGCAAATAGTTTTCCAAATGAACATCAGTAATTCGTGTTCTCACTTGTGATTTGATGTACTTCATGGGACTAAAAAGCTGTTGACACACAGAAGTGTTTCCAAATAGCGAAACCATCGACAGAGCATGTTTGTAAAACGCACGATATTTATCCTTGTCCAAATACGTTTCATAGAACTCTTCCAAACCAACTTGATGGAATTTCTTCAACGTTTCATGGTTTACTTACTTATAAAATCGATATGGTAGACAGGCTACTTGGTTAAAGTAGTTTGAATTGTAATTATAAATATGTTAAATATGTATTTTAACGTCGATCGCAAAATCTATCCAGATGCATTGGCGATAATAAAACGAAACTACAGAATAACACGGAACTTTGTCAAGCTGGACTGAAGGTAGTTATGAATATGAGCCCGATAGCATTGCGAGCTTTCCGAAAACGCCAAAGACCACAGAACATATATAGCTAAAGCTGAAGTCTCATATTAAATTTTGTCAACACCTAGCGTCGGACAAAAAACTAATTAAGTAACATTGAGTGTCAAATAGCAAGATATTTGAAATATCTAAAAATCTATGAATTTTTCCAAAAATGAAGGATATTTCAAATTTCTCTTAGCTATAATTTAAAAATACACGATACGAATAAACTCATGACGTAATGTTCTTTTGGTGATATGTACAATAAAGTTAACATTTACGTTCATTTGACCTAGCTCCGCGGGCCTCGTGTTGGCCACCCCTAATCTAGAATAAATTAATTGGATTTAGATTGATTGATATAAAAAAATTTGTCACGGTTTTTGTTGGTTTCGCCTAAAACCGAGTTATTACTGTATTGGTGTTTAATTAAGTAGCACACCGTTTCTCTTTTAATAATAGGAAATAATTTCAGCCAGAATTTTTGTCTTTTTAAGCTAACAAATAAGCACAATACGTCAATGTGACAAAACAATTCCGAAATTTTACATTGTTGTAGTGCATTCTTGTTTTTCATCTTTTCAAAATTTATAAGGTGAATTTAAAATTTTAATTACTTATTTTTTAAATGCAATCAAAGGTAAGTAAAACTTTCAATGTGTTTTGTTACACGTTATTTTTAATTAATAAGACGACACTTGTCATTCGAAATTATGAAGAATAAAAAATGGAAAATTTTAATTTTTATCGAAAAATACATAAACTGTATTTTACTATTATATTTTGATATAAAGAGATAATATTTCTGAAAATATTAATGACGAACCTAATAATCTGAAATACTTTTACACAACGAATATTTTTTTAAAGGATGAGAAACAGAAACATGAATTCACGGAATGTAAACAAATATTTTCAAGGAAATCGCAATTAGATGTGCACCTGAGAAGCCATACTGGTGAGAAACCGTTTCCATGCGATATTTGATGTTAAAAATTCTCCCAGTCTGGAAATTTAACAATTCACAAAACAATACATTCGGAAGAACGACCTTTCAAATGCAACTGTGGATATGCTACAAAAAAAAAATTTGATCTGTTATCACATGTCAAACGATTACATCCACATGCAATCGTTTCTGATATTATTACTGTAAGAATTATGTTTATGTTTATTTTTGCATTTAAGTCCATATATATTTTATGAAATATAATATATTATAAGTTAATAAATTTGATAAAAAAATATAACATTATGATGGACTATATAACTGGCTTAATTATTATAAATAAAATTGATAATTTACAGTGAATCATTAAAAAATATACTTGTTAAATCTCTACCGTAAAAATCGTAAATATTAATTACGAAATAATTTCTTCAACAATAAGCCATTATAATGCATACAAAATATAACGAATTTACGAAATATATTAATATTTAAATTTTTTTTAGAATGTAATAAATAGCAATTACTAATTAATAACTCATTTAATACTTAGATTCCCCCAAAAAACTCGAAAGAAGATCACAAATGTGATAAATGTGGTAAAAGTTTTCCATGGTTATCCACTTTAACAAAACATCTACTATCTCATGAGAAAAGTCGACCGTTTTCATACCGTTTTCATGTGATATTTGTAAGAAAAGGTACAAACATAAATTTCACTTAAAAGCACACATGAAAATAGTACATCCACAGGAACAAACAGCATCTTCTTCCAAGGTACATAAAGAAATTTTTTGAAATTAATTATTTAAAATTTACTTGAATATTATAATGTAAGGAAAGTTAATTAGCTTGTAAAAGATTTTTATAACTCCTTATCAGATTTTTAGGTGACTTTATTACGTGATTACTGTAAGTAATTTTATTCTGTAATCTTTATTTATTTAATAAATAATACAGCATTGTTTACGTAAAGTATTAACGCAAAATAAAAACTGATAATCTGAAGTTTGTACATTCAGTCATTTGATAATCTGCATCTGTCTTTCTATACCTCTATATACGGTAATTTCAAAATACAGTAGAGACTCGATTATCCGACCCCCGATTAACCGACACCTCGGTCAACCGACCGTCCTAGTTGGCAAATTTCAAATTTCCGCTAGTGATGTGGCGCTACAATATTTGGCTATGTCTTGGCTACTATAATATTATTTTTACGTGTTTTAGCTGGCAACATTGGAACGACCATGAAAGGGAGCCAGTATTTAAACGAGGCATAATTTTCTAATTTTTAACGATATAATAGCGACGGTTATTATTTTAAAAAATTTTTGTTAGGCTTAACATCGATGAAAATTCAACGCGAAGTAGGTTAATAGCGATATACTAATATACTAATTACATGGGATATAATAATATACTACACTAATTATGGATTTTTTCATACTTTTCGGTTATCCGACTTATCAATTATCCGACCAACCCCAGTCCCCAATTGAGTCGGATAATCGAGGCTCTACTGTAATACGATTTAAGGTACAGTATATTTTAAGATTCGAAATGATTTATGGTACATCTGACTATTTTTATTTACTGTTGTCATTATCTATATTTGTTCTTTAAACAGCAAGGAAAATTTTCGGTAAAATCGAAACGATTAAACTTTTTCCCTGTGAACTTTAATGAACTATACCACTAGTAAAATTACTATTAAGGGAAATCTACCATCGTAAATTATTTGGAATGATTTTAATCATAATAATTGTTTCAAAATTATTTTTCTTTTACTTAAGTTTTTCATCAGAAATTTAATTATTTTTAATTAATTAATGAACTTTTTGAACTTTATTACTTGATTTCTTATTTCTTTCCTTCTTGATTCTTCGGAATTGAACACAAAAAGCTTAAGAAATAATTACCTATAGTATAACTAATGGTAACTAATAATGTAAGGTAAAACTAGAATAACGAAAACCAATAAATAAATATAATAACTTGAATAAAAACTAATGAAAAATAATAAATGGGCAGTCCTGTGTCAGCTGATTTTGCATCCTATGCAAAGATTATAATTGCGCCTGTTATCTTACAAATTAGATATTTTGAAAAATGAAATTTAAGTATAATAAATAAACATTATAAATTTTTTGCACACTATCAAAGGTTTACAAATTTCGGCATGCTTTATTATTCATATATAAAGTAATATATCTGTAATTTTTCTATAATCAGAGCCTTTGTTAACTTTCTTTTAAAACCCATATTTAGACGCGATAGCAATCTATTATAATGTTTGGCACGCTGGGAACAGTCGTTCTCTGTATTCATAGATAAATTTTGAAAAACGATTCTTTTATTGCGGGTTTTGTGATTTTAGGTAAGTAATATATTGTGTTTCATAAAACAGTTACTCAAAATATATCATTTTTATATATTTTATAAACGGAAACAAGAAGTAGTAATTTACAGAAATCTTAATTAAAGAATCGTAATTAAAGAAAGCAGAAACTAGCCATGAAAGCGAGGTGTTTAAAGCCAGCCATTTTTTTTACATGAGAACGGATTAGTCATTTTTACATTACTTCTTATGGGAAAGATTGATTTGGTATACATCCAATTCGGTATAAGTCCAAACATCAGGAACGGATTAAGGTCGTATACCGAGGTTCCACTGTATTTCGAAAAAACCGTCCCCTACCATTGTAAAGCAATTAGCGGAAAATGGATAGTACAGGGATAGTAAAATCTCAGCTCCGATTCTGTTTTCTTGCATTTAGATAAAAGTAAAATAAAAATACTAAATGCAACAAAATATTCAGCAATCTGTATAAAACGATCGATGTAGAAAAATAAAGAAACAATACAAATACATGAGTCAACACCAACGTATATGACCTCACATAACAGTAAAAATTGTACTGAGCAAATGCAAACTCAGTATGCCACTAACTGCCTCGATTAGTCGCGTGATGACTATTGTTCCCCAGCGAACTTTGCGCTCTGTTCCTGTAAGAATAAATTTCGTAAAACTTTAAAATTTGTTAATGCAATCTTAAACACTTCAAGGAACGTAGACATTATTTTCCGGCACGGGCAACTATTGTTCCCTATGCACCTGAGAGTGAATTCATTCTAATATATAAAAATTATCGTGTTAAACTATATTCCATCATACGGAAAATTAGAATACTTTACTATGTAAAAGTACTGACATTCATTAATTACAATAGTATACTAAAAAAATAAATTATAAATGCCATTCCTTCAGAAACTTAATTTTTTGAATGATGCAGTTGACTTTAATTATGATTTGAATATACAGTGATAGTCATTTTAGTTTAATTAACTGAATCAGATTATATTATATACATTTTTAAATTCTTAGGCAACCGTTGAATATATTCAAGATGTAGAATATGACATTGTAGAGAAAAAGCAGAAAGAATCAATGGAAAAACCATCAATGAGTGATAAAAAATCTCAATCAGTAGAATATGAAGAAGCTGTTGTGGAAACCCTTAGTATCAGTTCAGAAAATACTGAAATTATGAATAGAGACGAATATTTAAACATGAACGAACTGGAAGATTTACCAGAATTGGAAATTTTTTCAGAAGTGATAATTGAAGGAATCGAACTAGAATGTCACGTCTGTGAAGAGAAATTTGACAACGAAGTAGCTCGTAGAGAACATGAAGCGAAATTTCATTAATTTGCAAAGCATACGATTTGGTAACGATGTTACAAACGTTTTAAATCATGCATTCTTTTTTTGTTTGTTATAAAAATATTTTTGATGTTTTGCATGCAGAAAATCAGATTAGTAATTAGGTTTTGTATATCTTTTTATTTTCAAAATTGAAATTAAATGAAAATATGAATAAATTTGTGTTGTACTCATTTATTTTATTCAAGTCAGGAATTCAGTAAAAATATATTTATAAAATTACGTTTAAAATTTCTATAAAGCCTGTTTTTTTATTGTGTTTTCCATTCATCTTTTTATGTTCTTCAAATAATCTATAGTTGTATTTACTTTTGACCGAATTAACGTAAATAGTCACTGTCTTTTTACGTTTCTATTGTATTTACATTTTAAACACTTTCAAACTAGTTCAACAGAAAAAGAAAATGAAATCGTTTGAAAATGCATAAAATTATTCTAAAATAAGGACAAACAAGTCGAATTGCTGATAAAAAATACAACAATGTTGAATTAGCCCACCTTATTTCAGAAGTCATATGTGAGAACATCTTATTGTTGCATAATTGCATAAAATCGTGTTTATAATATTTTTCACATACAAATGTTATCCAAACAATGAACCGAGTTGCAAAAAATTTAAGTCAATTTAAACATTCTGACTATTTGGATAACATTCAAATCGTTTTTAGTTTTTCTTTGGTGAAGATAAGCTTCGCTGTTGAAAACGGTATAAACATGACTGTATTCAAATCTTTAACATTTCGATTTGAAATTCCGTGATTATCTTCACAAAAAACGAAAAGACTTTTAAGTATAAAATTTCAAAAAAATATTTCCTCAAAAATTGATGAAACTTTATGGATTAATTCTACAGAAATAACCGCCGTTTTTTGCCTGGTTCGCATTTAATCAGACACAAAATCTTATCTTCGTATTCTTTATTTAGTTATTTACTATGCATTTCGGGTGTAATATTTTCGTGTAACTTGCACCCCTCTTCAGGTTTTTTACATTTTTATAAATTGGTAAATTCAATTATTACATTTGTTATTACGGTAAATTA